GCCAGGCCACGGCACAGCCCCATCCCCCAGCTGGTGGCCGTACCTCGTAGTCGACCGAAATCCCGTTGGGCCAACTGATGCTGACGTTCACCAGCACCATCCGCTCAGTGCCGTCCAGGCGCGAGCGCTCGATGCGGGGGTACTGTCCCCACTCTGTCCAGAACAGGTACCTGCAGGGGACAGCAGCGACGTGACCACGGGGCTGGCCACAAGCAGCACCCCTCTGCCTTTCAGCCGCTGGAGCAGAGGACAAACACCTTGGAATCACAGAATCCTTCAAGAGACCTTTATGATCTTTGAGTCCAACCGTTAACGCAGCACTGCCAGGTCACCACTAACCATGTCCCTCAGCACTGCGTCTGCCTTTCCCTGTCGTCCCTCCACATGGAGTCTAGACCTCTGGTGACCTCCTGGCCTTGTGGCTGCCACAGGCTTGCAGACCATGCTGCACTGCAGCTGGACATGGCCCAGAACCCATCCCTGTGCCAGGCACACAAGGGGCTGTTCTCCATCCTTCCCCAGATCCAAGCAACTCTCCTCTCTCATGACTGTCCAAATCTGGAGCCCATCTAGGGAGGCTCCCCTCTCATTTATGAGGTGCTGGTACCCACGAAGTCATGGGGAGCTCCCAGAAAGCTCAGCCCACCAGTGAACAGGTGGTTAAACCCAGCTGGTTTTGCCACCAGGAGTCTGTCCCTTGGTGTGGCAGGAGACCTACGAGTCCTCCACTGTGTGCAAGCTGCCCGTCTCTGCCAGGAGGGCGCTGGGGTCTCCGGCCCACGCCCACCCCTCAGCCGCTGGCCCTCCCTGGGTGGCTCTGTGCCGTGCCTCACCCCTTCTCTGGATGCACTGTGATGGCCCGTGGCTTGTCCAGCCCCTGGGAGATGACCACATAGCGGAAGGACCCGTTCAGTCTGGCCACCTCGATGACATCAAAGCCCTGGTCTGTCCAGTAGATGTTTCCTGTGGAGAGGGGGTGGTGAGGGTCAGTGTGAGCCCTGCCCCCCACGGCCCCCCACTCCCCCCGCCTGCCGGGCAGGCTCACCAGCGATCCAGTCCACGGCGATGCCCTCCACGCGCCCGATGCCGTTGGTGACCACGTCCTCCCGCCACGTCTGGTCCCGCTTGGCCCGGCTGATGGTGCTCAGGCCCATGTCCACCCAGTAGATCGTGTCATTCTCTGAGAGGGGCCAGGCAGAAGAGCAGGGGTCAGAGACCGCCTCTGGGTCACTCCAAGGGTGGCACAGATGTAGGCTGGGCCGCACCCCAAGGCCCCAGTGTGGGGACCTGATGCCCTCCCACACCCAGAGCTGCCAAGAGGAGATGTTCCAGGGCAGGACAAGGCCGAAGGAGGGTCTGGTGCTGGTCCCACTCGCTCTTCCCCTCCCCTCCCCCTCCAGCTCCATTGTCCTGCTCCCAGCCCCTATGGCACCTGCATGGAAGTCGATCCCCACGGCCAGGGAAGTGCCCGACACGGGCACGAGAGCATCCGACTTGTCGTTGGGGTCCAGGGGAATGCCACGGATCCCCTCGTGGACCGAGTACAGGAGGAAGGAGCCAACACCTGCGACACAGAGAGGGGACAGTCAGACCCACCCCACAGATGACGTGCTGTCCCTTCAACAGACGGCCACAGCTCACGGACAACGTGACAGCAGCTCCATGGAGGAGCACAGGGCTGGTGGAGGGCCCTATCCTGCCCACGGTGCTGCCATCGGGGTGATGTGTTTACACGGGTGGCACGCTTTGGAAGCTCTGCAGCCCCGTGGTTTGTCATGGAGGGAGGGACATCCCTGATTCACTTGGGTCCCCAGGCGAGAGGGGACGGAGCAGGATGAATACAAGGAAAAAACACCTCTGTGATCAGGATGGGATGGCAGGCAGGGGAAGGGCTGGCAGAACATAGAATAACAGACGTTTTTGGGTTGGAAGAGACCTTTAAAATCATCAAGACCAACCGTCCCCCCAGCACTGCCAGGTCCCCACTGACCCGTGTCCCTCACACCACATCTCCACGGCTTGGGAACCCCTCCAGGGGTGGGGACTCCACCACTGCCCTGGGCAGCCTGGCACAGCCCTGGGCAACCCTCAAAGGGCATAAATTGTTCCTCGTGTCCAACCTAACCCTCCCCTGGTGCAGCTTGAGGCCGACTCCTCTTGTGGGAAGAGGAACAACCTGCTCTAAACCGAACATGGACGCAGCCAGGGACGCGGCATCTGATCACTGGGGCAGGAACGTGGGGAACAGCCCCACAGCCCTTCTCTGCTGCTCTCCGTACCCTGGTGGGCTTGGAGGAGAGCTCCCTGGAGGCTGCAGGCCCCGGAGCAGCCTGCTCAGGAGGCCCTGGCCCACGCCGGGGCGCAGGGAGGCAGGAGCAAGGTCTCTGCAGAGTCTCTCCCGCCCCCG